GCCTTGGGACTGCTCCCGCCTGCTGCCTGCCCCCCCCTCATCCCCACGGGCTTTGTGCTGCCTGTTCTCCTCGCTGATGGAGACTTCCCTTTGTCGGAGTGCAGGGTGACGTGAGGAATTGCCTTCCCTGGAGCCTGGACCTGGGGGGTTTTGTTGTGGCCTAGCAAGAGGCAGTTTCCTTTCCTGAGCTGTTGGCATCTTCTTGCCTGGATTCAGTTATTCCCAAATGAATGGAGGAATGCAGCTGATAAGTCCTTAACCACCCAGTGCTCCCGCAGGCAGCACCAGAAGCTGGCTTCGTCTTCTCCACTTTGGCACCTTTCGGGGGGGCCTCTCTTTATTACCTGCTCCAGGTACCTTTTTAGTGGCACTGTAGACCAAAGGAGATGGAAGAAAAGGAGCGATGTGATAAATTCCAGCTTCTACCTTGAGACTAAGGGGATTTGTAGCTTTTGACTTTTTTTTTTTTTTTTTTTCCGTGGTGGGGAGGGAAATATTACATTTTATGGGGTATGGGAGGAGGGAGGAAAAATATGTTGCAGATCTTTATGTGGTTTTTAAAACCAGCCATCAGAGGCAATTACTGAATAAACTGAAGCACAAGAGGAGAGGTTGTGAGCTGGAAGCAGTGCTAGCCTGCAAAAGAAAGGGGCAGTGGGCTGCTGTTGTGACTGTGGAGGAAGAAACTTCAGCCTCCTTAATTTCTCACCACCTACTCTCCATCCACCTTATGAGAAAATGAGTTGTGTGCCATGGAAAGGTGACAAGACCAAATCGGAATCAGCAGAGCCACCCCAGCTACCGCCACTGCATATTTACCATGAGAAGCAGCGTAGGGAGCTGTGTGCCCTCCATGCCCTCAACAATGTCTTCCAGGACAGCAACGCCTTCACTAGGGAAACTCTGCAGGAGATTTTTCAGAGGTAGGATACTCTCTGCACTCATGTTAGCTTTCCCTTGTCTTCTGGTGCTTGGAGGAATTTTCAGATCTTATTTGGGGGAAGGGGAGAATAGAGCAAAGGAGGGATTCAGAGTATGACACTGCTTTGAGCTGAATTTAGCTTGTTTATTAAAACCCCCCCCTCTTCTTTTTTTTTTTTTCTTCCCTCTCTCCATGCAGAAATTCTCTTTTTACTTGCTTCTTAAACTATTCTGGCTGCCAGTTTTGGGTCCAAGGGCTTCATTGCAGATGCTGTCATGTGGTTGGACTGCTCTCTTCTCCCCCACTCACCTTAATGCATCTTCTACCCGTCCTCCATATTTTTGCCCCTGCCTTGTGTAGATATGTTACATTGATGTTAATAACGGATTTGGGGATTGGCTTGGGAGAGTGAAGGC